ATCCTCGCCTTCTTACGAATTTTTTAGCTAAACATTCGTGAGTTTTCGAAGAATCAACCTTAAACTTGGCTAACTAAACTCTTATGCGTAAATGCGCAGTTATGACAAAAGAAATAAAAAATAAGGGCAGTTAAGATTAATCTAGCATACTCTCAAAAAAGGAATGAGAGCGGAAGATCAGGCAAGCAAGCGAAATGACGTCGGTGGGTGATCTCAACACATTTTCTGGAGACAAATGAAACTGCGATGAGGGCGAATATTTTCAGGAGCAGCGTTTCTATAAGTGTGCAGGTACTAGCGTAAGAAAGGTTTTCCACGTGTATTAGAAAGAGTGTTCTTGTCCCACAGCGGGCTGGCATCAATTTTCAGACCTCAGAAGGTGAGAGAGTTGGTGGGCGCACAGCGGGGTCGAATCCGGGTTTGGTCAGATTGCTCATCCGCTTAACGAATGGTTCACGGCACCGCGCTAGACGCTCTTGACGAGGAATTAGAAGCTCAAGCATGGTACAGGTGGCTCATTCCACAAACCGTGCCCAACGAGTTTAACCGATTTTATGAGAATGATAATTATCTGCAAATCTACAGATAATATAAGCGACTTGTAACACTGTATAGTGAGAAAGCAAATATACATGTATACATATGTACACATGTAGAGAGAGAGGGTAAGAGAGAGATATATAGATAGATAAATAGACAGATAAAATAAGGAATGCTATCCATGGAATCGAGTATAGGGCCTATAATGGTTGAAAAAATTTCTTGTAAAGGTATAGAAATTTTCTTTAGCGAACACTTATTTTGAATATAGTAAAGCAATTGACATTCAGAACTGCCGAAAATTGGCTGGATTTGGCTTTCTTTGCTCGGACACGATGACGAAAATGGCCTCGTCCATGCCGATTTAGATTTCCAACAATTTCTTTTGAAGAACAAGAAGAAGGTTGTATTACTATAAACACTTCCAGAAAACAATATATTAATGAGTGAAACGTGAAACTAGAAAATGACCAATAATTCTTACAGAAAAAGGTAGAATGTAAGAGGAAGATAGTAGATTTTAATTATAGTATTCTAAGGCAGAAGGGATAAAGAGTGAGGATGTCAGAAGAATATAATTGTTAGGAGTATTTAGCTGGATGATTCCTTCGTTATTATTCTTGGAGACCACGGACTTCGTGGAGGTCAGGTTAGTCAAAATCAATACATTTAGCGTAGTCATCCTTTTCAGGGTTTTTCAGTTCTATCAGAGGTTTTCTTGGTCAAGTCGCTAATTTACCTTTGATTTTAACTATGTACTTCTGTAAAATGACACAAATGACAGTTGACGGGTGATTGCTGATGGCAAAAGATCAATAGAACTAGCTGAGAGACAGGCGAAACGAAGGACCCGGATGGTGTGGTGGTGAAGTGCGCTACTCCCTGGTAAGGACAATAGCGCGCGTTCGTTACCCACCGCACACACCTGCAGTCTGGAGTTTTGCAAATATCTCAGCATTATATACAAATGACAGTAGTTTGCAAATTTTGCACAACTACGAGTTTGTATAATCTTCTGAACACAGTCACAAGAATATTCAGATAGCAAGAATCGAAACCACAGATGCGCTTCGAATCACCGACTACCCTTTTCGTGCTCTCGAAATCATTCTCGTTGATCAATACTTGTTTTGGCTCTTTTAGAGTAGAAAACTGGCTGAGAGGGAGGCAAAACAAGGGTGTCGGTTGGCGCATATGATAACACGTGTGCCCTCAGAAAGAGTGGTCGCGAGCTCGAAGCGCACTCAAGGTTCCAAGTTTTCCTCATATCTAAGCATCTTATATGGTTGTGCTTTTATTTTATATAACATCATTCCATCAAATAAAAATAGACAGTAGGTAGAAGTTAAAGCAAACCTGGAAATAACTCAAAAAGCCCACTTTCTATAAACCTCGGCGTAAATGAGAGACTTCTTTATATATATGTTCTTATGAACTGCCACTGTTAAGTTGATGCGAGGTTGCTAGAAGTTGTCATTGTTGTTGTTGTTGTTGTTGCTACTGCTGCTGTTGTTGTTCGATAACTGAAGTTTCGGCTACGACAACAACAACAACAACAGCAACAGCAACAACAATAAGCACTTTTACCAACTTCGCATTCGCTGAACAAGAGCAGTTCCTAAGAACACACAAATAAATCTTCGAAATGTTTGTTTTAGTTGTTTCTTATCATAAAGCTCTACTCAAATCCGTTTTAAAGTAACCATGTTAATTGAGATAATTTTATTATGTTAACTTTACAAATCATCAGGCCCCTAGTAGCGCAGTGGTAGAGATGCCGTTCAGTAAAATTGCACAATGCACCTGGTTGAACTCCAACCTCATCCGACCAAGACTTCCATTTCTTCATGATAGGGATAGTAGACTTATGTTGAATAGCTCAATCAGATCTGCAAAGGAAGTTAACTGCGTGTGCTGAAGACCTGGGAACTCCGTAGAACGACCATGATAGGATTCCAGCGAGAATTTTCTCGACCAGCATTCAGTGTCATTTTGAAGGCAACGAAGATCCTTAAGTAGCGGCCGAATCCACACGAAAATCCGAAAAACTTCGTACATGATGGATACGAGTAAAGAAATCGAATAAAAGAAATGTTAGGATCCGCACAATACATGACGTCGTGCCATCTAGAATTTTTATAAATCATTCTAATACGCTACACTACACTCTTCTGCCTTTTCCGTCTCAACTTATGTTCAATTTTTAGTACTGACGTAAAAGTGGTAGACAGTAAACTCGAGGATTTTCCTCTATTCGAATTCGAGGCCAGAAATACGTATCTTTTGGGTGTCCTGTGAATTAAAGGAGCGATAGCAGATAATCGTTATGAAATTTATTCTACCTTTCGCTCAATAAATGCCACCGCTTGGTGTTGACATGCACTAGAGAATTGAATCTGTACGACGACTGAGGACGTCCAGCAGAATATAAGGAAATGTTATGAAAACTTTTCTGTGCTCGGGTGTCGAGACCATTCACCAAAATTTTTTAAATTGGGACGAAATTCCTGCAAAGAAGGAAATAAATGGGCATAACACCCCGAGAGCTAAAATGTCTGCCACTGCGTTATACAGTGAGTGAGAATGAAAACTTTGATCAATTTGTTGCATATCATCACTCGATACGAAGAAGAGCCGCAAAAGGTTAGCAGAATTGAGAAACGAAGAATTTTTGAAAGCACTAACCCTTTTTGCTTAAATGTGATTTTACCCTTTACTGTGATTTTTTATTTTACTTTACTTTATTTTATTTTATTCTATTTGACCCGTCCTCACGTCTATTGTACGGATCCCAGCATTTCTCGTATTGACTCATTTCCTCGTATCCATTGTCCACGAAATTCTTCCAACTTTTACTTGTGGCTTCGGTTGCTGCTTGAGTATTTCCATTTCATCTTGAATGTTGTAGAATGCTGTTCGAGCAATTCCCTCTAGAATCCTGAGGTAGCCGGACTGGAGCGTTCCCGAATGGGTCGCAGAAAGTGATTTTTTCTCAGACAAGTCCGGTGCCGATTTCCCGGCCCCGGAAGGATGAGAGGCCTGCTTGGTCCAAAGCGGAATCGAACGAACACCATGCTTGTGATGACGGACATCAGTAACACTATGCTATCTGCCCCCTTTTACTGTGATATGCACTGAAATATGTGCATTCGACTGATTTCAGGCAATCCAAAAGACGTTAGTTCACAAAGTTCGGTGATTTGACGTTACTTCAGTTTTTAACAATATCCAAGTAATTTAATTCGTTTGCTCGCATACACTATCTGCGAAGCTTTCCAACTTTTCGCTTATAGGTCCGACTACTGCTTGAAGATTGTCGTCTTCTTTATGAATACTGATGCAATCAGTTCTCTCTCAAGCCTTGGAATTGATGCTCTGGAGCGTTTCGACGGCGATTTGAAGAAGTGAACTAGTTTCAGACAACTCTGTCACCAGTATATATTCTTACAAGCTGGCGTTCATGAGCAGATGAGAAGTTGCTATAAATTGTCGTCGTCGTTGTTGTTGGTGTAGTTCGATGGTTGACGTTTCGGGGATTTCGTCTTCATCAGAGACTGAGCACATTTTATGTAACAGTAGCCTTATAATTCGGTGAAATATCTGTAGTGTTAATGACGATCTAACATATAAATGAGCCTATATATTGTTCACATGGAATGACGAGTTTGAGCCACCCAGATCAGAAACCAATCTCAAGCAAGGCGTCAGTTTACGTGTGATAGTGAGGCGTTCTCGTCTTTCCGGTTCATTCATGGGCTTTCCAAATTTATCCAAAACGTTGTGAGAGTCTTTTGCGTTGATATTATTCATTTTTGCGCTAGTATGCAATTTGTCACTTCAAAACCATCACCATTGTGGTTTTGTGTCTATGTGTACCTAGACGAGTGTTTTGTCGAACTTTTCTTGCCATCTAGATGTTTTTATGCGGATACGAAGTGGTATACCTGTTTCCCCAATGTATTCTTTACCGCAGGCCTTGTACGAGATCAACTATCTTGTACCTGAACTCATGCATTTTCCGTCTCTCCCGACAGGACGTATTACACAATTTTTTGCCTGCACAAGCGATCATAGAAAAAATCATAGAAAAAAAAGATCAAATGATGGCGTAAGATATAGCATAGGAGGTCAGTAACCACCACATAACTCTCAAGACCAATTTTTCCTAGAGACCTCTTAACGGCGTAACTTATTTCGTCTAATATAAAGGATTGCTTGAAAGGGATCTTCGTTACGTTTGAAACATTACTACTATAAGCCCTGGTACCAGTTTCTTGAACTCGTAGAAATGAGAGGCCTTGTGGGAGTGGGGCGGGGATCGACACAAAGCCTGTTTGTATTGGACAGAGCGCGTAATCAACTGCATCGCTGCCACTACACTACCTTCTTCACCGTGCGAGTCGTTCAAATTTTTAAGTGTCTGTTTTGAGATAACATGGACAAAACTCGGAGGCCTCGAAATGAGTAATCCGTTATTTGCAATATCCGCGCCGAAGAAACTTCGAGAAACGACGACTGTGCTGAAAATCCTCAAGAAAAACGCCGGTCATCTACAAACACTCTATGACGTCCGCGCTACTCTACTCGACATTCTTAAGGTGCGCTATTGCCCATTCCGAATTTACATCCTCTACTAATGCAGCATCGTGAGTTTTTATATTATCGCTTGGTGTCGTACACATTTTTCGCAAGAGTTTACCTCCTCATCGTAGCTAGGAGATGTTCCTGGGTGTCGGACTACGATGTATAGAGGGAGATTCATCACCTCGGCAGGGTCTCCCAAGTTCAGAAGGAGTCCGACGTTTTCATCAAGAAGCCTAGCTAAGAGTAAGCCAATACCAGGATCCTCCACCGTCCTGGTATCAAACTAGTTGCGTGGTGGCAAATCTCTCTCTGATCCACAACAGCGGCCACTATCTGTAGTGGAGACGACCTGGGGCAGACTTTGGCCAGGCTGACCTAGGGACTCCAGGGTACCACAGTAGCTAAACCAGCAGACTCCGAAAGATAGAGCTTGTGCTGGGGCCCGCACAACCCACTAAGGACGGGCCGTCGGAGTCCAAGTAAGTAAGTATCAGTACACGTTAGTAAACATACATACATGCAGACGTACATGCATATATACACAGACTAGTTACCACGTTTTCGAACTTTTTTTGAACTTCGTTTTTTCCTGAAGATTTTCATCTGGACCATCAGATATGGAGGTGTCTGTTTGGACATGGTGGCGATCGCGATTTCTGGATTTCAAGATTACACTAGGTACCATAAATAGCGCCGACTTGGTAATATGGAAAATTCCATGCATTTAGTGCTATTACACTGTACAAGGTGTAGTTTGAAACTAACCATTCCGCCACCATCTAACTAAATTCAGTGAGATGCCCTTGATTTTGATTATTCAAACCAAAGTGTAAATAGTGCAGCAACTTCGACTTCGACGGTTAATCTACCCTAGAACACAAATCTTGAATTTCGCTCTGTGGCTGATGGGAATAGAAACTACATTTTGGAGAACACTATCGCGTAATTCTGGATTAAATCACTCTTGCCCAATCGCTTTGATGGTTGAAATGCGAGTCCAGACGAAAAAAACGTGGGTTCCAAAGATGTGCAGGCTGGATTGGTTCTTAATTTAAGGCTTACTTTGGGTTGAGAGGTATCGAGGCCCCAAAAATAGACTACGAAGAGGTAGGTGCTTTAATAATTCGTACCGTATGAATCTTCATACGATAACAAGTGCCAACTTTAATGCAATATCCATGAAAGGTGGTTATGGTATCAACTGTGACGTGATGCTGCTTCCAACGAATTTCATTGTGCTTTGGCCCATTAACACATTCGTAGCATGGCGTCGGACAGCAAAAAGTTTCCCCCGCATACGATGTGTGTTGAGCCCCGTGCGTGTGGGCTACTATCCGCAATGATTAATTATTTCTATACCCACTACTTCATGCTTTTCGCCCTATAAATCGGTTTTCAATGGACTTTGCACTTTAGGGAAAACTCTCTACACCATCATCAGAATGCTTAGCACCATTTTAAGCAACATTCCCTCCGCTAGGAGAACAAACTCGTACGCAGAACACTTTCATGTTAATTATTAATGGTAGCGAATACCTCTACCACGAACCACGCCTTCTACAATACCTGTGGAATAAGGTATCGACTGAATTCAAACAGTAAAATGAAAAATCACGTCTAATAAAGCATGGCAAGAAGCATGAAGAGAAATTTACGCATTGATGTCATTACACGCCATTGAGAATGCGTTGAGGACATTAGCATGTGAATTTCAGTACCAGCCGGCGTCAAATTTCACCGATCGAAGCTTTATGCAAATGAAAGGTGAATACGGAACATCACTTCTGCGGCAACAGTCAAACGTGGAGAGGACGTGTAAAAACCTACCAATTCCGATGCAGTACTGCACATGCCAATATCCCAAAGAGACCATAAACAGGTTATTTTTCTTCTTAAATGCCAGAGTACGCAAGACGATACAAGATATAGACGTCAATAACTGTCGCAGCTACGGGAAATAATTAAGTAACAGCTACAAGCAATAATTAAATGATGACGACGCTAACGATTGAATAGTAAAAGAACGCCATGTTGCAAATCCCAAGATACGCCTTCCTTTTGACCTCGGCAGCAAGGAATTTGCTGTTTTCTTGATGAGCAAACACGAATTAGTATGTTGTTCAGAAATAAGTGCGTTTTAATTGTACTATTTAAAATGTCATAACTACTTGCTTGAAACAAAACTTTATTATTCGAAATAAAAACCACTTGAATCTACACATTTTTGTCAATGAAAAACAAGTTCAATTATTCCAGTTGCATAAAAAGAGTTCTGGAAGCGATGAATTCGTTGAAGGCATTTTTTGCGTCGTTGTGGTTGGTGAAGTATTTGTCGCGAACGAAGTTGTCAAGGTGCTTGAAGAAGTGATAGTCAGTAGGCGAGAGCTCTGGTGAATATGGCGGATCAAGCAAAGTTTCTTAGCCTAACCCAAATATTAATTAGCACACGATAGCTGTCGTTTCGGCGGTTTCGCCTTCTTCAGAGTCTAGAGAAGTCAAATTGATATGCAATCTACTCAGCCAAACGCTTTCATAACTCTGGCAGATAAAACTCGATACATGATTTTTGTACTAATGGTACTGTAATAAGAACCTTGTGTTTACTCATGAAGGAAACCGTGAATACAAGAACGCTTACATAAGAATAGTTAGAAAGAAATTTGTACACGTTCTGTTCCATTTAATTATTCCAACAATGTATGTCTTGTAAAAGAAGGTTGGAAAATACCACGACATCTACCTTCACTCGCAATATGTACTGCTCAATATGGAGTAAAATGATTTATATGCCTACGCAGGTCGCTCAAGTACTCAGACGAATGTACAGAGAGTAAAAGAAAAGCTCTCGGCCTTGATCAATCCCTGAGGGATACGCCGCTATGCATCCGACTTCATTAAGCATCGCTTGGAGGTGATTGAATGCATACTTCTCCTTTACGATGACTCGGGATGGCTTACCGATATATCGAACCATTGCTGCTATCCTCCCAGATAAGTGTGATTCCGATTTGCTGACTCTAGAGGGATGGAAGGTTTGGTGGGCCATGGACTGGGCGATCGACTCCACATGTGTGTCGCAGGGCTCCTCCAACCACTGCGCCACACGCGCTCTTATAGAGAGAGTAGGAGAGGTAGAGTTGCTCCATTGAAACTTTATTAAAACACAATAGCGAAAAGGGGCGCACGCAGCGCAGTAGTTAAAGGTGCCGTGTAATACATTTTGAATGGATCTCTAGCTCGATCCTATGCTTTGAAATAACGAAGCATGCCATTCCACCGGTCGATGACGGCAAATCGATATCAGGCTTTTCTGGGAGGATAGTAGCACTAACTTCGATATGCCATTGAAAACCATTGTCAAGGCCAAATGTGCATTCAGTAACATCTATGACGCTTGATGAAGTGAAATTCATAGCGCATCTCTTGGAGAATGACGAACGTAGATGACTTCTGTCCCTTAACACTCCATGTATAACTTAATTTCTCTTAACTAATCCAATATTTCGTATCTGCAAACGCAAAAATCCTCACTACTTGCATTATTTTTATTTTTGTTTGGTATAATCTAAGTACTACAACAATCCATCATTCGATTCATAGCGTTGCATTTGTCATCAAAGCTTCTTTTGCATGAATGCGAATAATATGGAGCGGGTAACGCAGAGGCGGTCATCAGGAGCACGATCCTCCGTCGCGGACCCACCAAATCTCCGAACACCCTGGGGTCGGGTAATTAGTATCAGGTGAAAACCCTCTATCTTGGCTATCATAAAGCTTTAGGAAAAATAAACTAGAGCAGTGTTCAACGAAATTCACAAAGAAGACGAGAATTCAGCCGAATTCACACTCAGAAAATTATAAGACCGTGGATGATGCATGCGGGTAAGCAATGCTTGTATCTGCACAGTAGAGGTGAAAGACAGGTCGTGAAATTGAAAACAAAGAAAAATTTAATGCTAAATGAATGCTGCTTTTTTTAGAATGATAGTACACTTTTCTTAAATCGGAGGGAGGCAAAGTAATGACTCCATTCAACCACATCAATCACCACCACCTTGGGCGTGATCGAGTGCATATCTCACCTAATGACTTGGCTTAGCGATGTGTTAACTTAGTGTTTTTATCCTTTCTGACTGGTTTTGAACCAATTTAGCGAATCCGAAAAGGTGGAACATGATTGATCTGAACGAATTAAGGTCTAAATGTACATTGGATGGCACCTCTAACTACTGCGGTGCACGCGTCTCTGCACTAAAATATACTGAGAAATAGGTGCAAATGTATTGTAACTATGTGTATTTTTCTGATAATATAGTGTATTAGTTGTTGTATTAATAGCAAGGAGTGCGTATGGCTCAGTGGCCGCAGGCGCCCTGCAAAACACGTGGAACCTCCGGGTTCGGCAAATTGGCACCAGATTGGTCTGGTAGGATAGCAGCACTGGCATGACACATCAATAGGCCATTGCGAGTTATGTAACGGCCAGATATGCATTCAATCACCTCTAACGTTGCTTAGTGAAGTCGAATGCATGGCGCATCCCTAAGAGATTGATCAACGCCGAGAGCTTTATCCTTTATTAATAGCAAATCTTGTTTAAGAGACCTCCTTTCGTATATTGCTCATAAGCATACTCACGACCGTAAGGTTAAATGTGGTCGCGAGTGTGTTATTGAAATCGTACAGTATCCTGAGACTGATTGTTCGAGTTTCCTCTTTAGCGGTAGAGAACCGAATTCAGTGGAAAACCGAAAAATTTCGATAGGATCAGTGGGACGTTGTATTGTCTAACACATAGACTCTTAGAGTGGAGCACGGAATTTTGTCGTTACTAGTTATTTATGAATCACTTTCTTTCCACTTGTTTCTTTTGTTCCGCAGCAGAGAATTTCTTCGGTACCCATTCGATTAAATAGATATACCTTTCCCGCCATAGGTATTATATCACCATACGTGGACTTGTAACTCAAAAGATCGACTTTCTATAAATCTCGGCCTAATAATCGAGGTGTCGGTATACATGTTCTTACGAGCTGCTCTTTTTTTAGTCGACGCGTCGTTGGCGTAGATGTTGTTATTGTTGTTGCCGTCTTTGTTCAATGGCTGACGTTTCGGCGACTTCGCCTTCCTCAGAGCCTAGACTCATCTTATGTAACAGCAGCCCCAGAATTCGGTGGATTACACTGTATTAATGAAGACCTATCATATTAAAAGACGCTAATTTTCAAATAGCACTCACGTTGCCGTTCGGCCACCCGTGTGTTGTTCACAAGGGATGATGAGTGAGAGCCACTCATGGGGATGTTCATCAAAAAATCATCATAAGATAAGGTAACATATCACGTGTGATTGTGATACATCCGTCTCTCCGGTTCATTTTTGGACTTTTGAAATTTATCCAGAACGCTTCAAGAGTCTTGCGCTTGATGTTTTTGATTCCTTTGCTAGGATCCGGACATTCTCTCCGGAATCATCACCTTTGGGCTTTTGTGCTCTATGTGTAATCAGCGGAGTAATTTGTCGAATTTTAACTTTTCCATCCAGATGTTCCTTTAGGCGGACATAAAGTGGTCTACCGGTTTCTTGTATGTTTTCCTCACCACATGTCTTATATGAGATCAAGTGTATTGTACCTAAACTCATATAAACTCCGTCACTCCCGTTAGGACAGATTATACAATTTTCTGAACTGCACAAACGATCATTGAGGCGGTTGCGAACTAGCTGACGGCGTAGAGCATTAGGTGGGAAGTCAATAACTGCCGCATAACTTTCAAGACCATTTCTTCTAAGGCACCTCTTTATGACGCAACGTAATTCACTTGAAAGAAGGATAGTCTGAAAGGAATCGTGGTTAGGTTTGGAGCATTATTTTAGGGAATAACTCTACCTTTTGGTCTGACCCGAGTGGCTTTTTCTTCGTAGCCGTTCGAAACCGCTATTTTTTGGGCCAAGTTTAGCTTCTCTTCCTCTTCTCCTGTGTACACGTTTTCAGCTGTTCGATAGTTGTTTTTGATGAGACCTTTTCTCATGTGTGAAGGATGAGGGGAAAGGTGGTGAGGTGGTGCACTAGTATAATTTTACTACTTAGAAGTCGAAGTTTAGGCTCTGAGCAAGGCGAAGTAGCGAAATGTCAGCCATTGAACAGAGACAGCAAGAACAACAGTAAGAACATCTATACTAACCTCGCATTGGCCAAAGAGCTGCAGTTCGTATGGACTACAAGGCACCCAGCCAAATATCCCTATGATCAGATTTTATATTACTATTATACTCCATATTTTGCACTATACCAAACACTTCGAAAAAATTTTTTCCGCGACCAAATTGTTCGTCCAGCAGTTTGGCCAGTATTTAGGGTGGAAGAGAAGAGTTATCGTCATCGCTAATGCATTAATTACATAGAGTTGGCACCAGAATCACACATGTATGACTGACTGGTCGAGATTTCAAACGGAATAGATGAATGCTGTCAAAGCAGCATGCTTATTCAGAACATGACGAACTCTCCGTAGGCGCTGCTTATGCAAACGATGATTGTGTCTGAAGAAGGAAATTGTGACGCTCACTCTTTCACGCAAAAGTCACTGTTTTTCTGATAAACAAACACGAGACTGCTAATCACAAGATTTGTTCAGTATTTTCTAAAGTTTTGGCGATTTCGCCTTCTTCACAGCCTATCGTTTTCCTCTAATGGTGACCCTCCAAATATTGAACCAGTCCATTGCCTTCGACACGCATTTCTTCGTTTAAGCGAACATCTCGTTCTTCCTGTATAGTAGACAGGCGCGAAGTACTCGTATGTCGATTTCCAGTTCTTGGTGGTTGTCCTCTGTTGGGTTGTATAGTTCGTGTAGCTACCTTCGTTTCATTAGGGTTAGGATGGCTCGATATTTTATACAGCAGCGTAGGAAATATGTCCTTTGTGTAGCTAAAACAATCTTTGAAGGAGTGGCCTCTG